ATTATTTAAAATAATTGTTTTTAAAAAATTTAAAAAAAATTAAAAAAAAAAAATGGAAATCGTTGTTCTAGTTTTAAAACAATTTGCGCAATCAAATTAATTGCTAATTAACTACTTTAACAGCAATGTAATTCATATGACGTGCCTGCGGTTTGGCCCTTGCCATTTGTTGAAATCTACATATTGTGTTGTATTTACTTTGTATACACAATTTTTTTTTTGTGTGCAATAGTAATAATATTTTGAAACTTTATGCATGTACATAATTAATTTATACGCCGGGCATGATCAAGTGAAAGTCACTTGTTGGCGTATTTTGTTTCAAGTACTTGCTCCTTTGGGACCTTTTTGAATTTAAAACGCAGATGTATAAAGTTCAATGCTGCGGCAAATCGCAGCGTATTGCAAGTAAAATATGCCATTACATCCAAATATACATAAATATATACGCTTACAGTCGGCGGAATGAAACCTACTTATAGCACCGAATCTAAAACGCAAAAAGGTAAATGCCTCATTAAAAGGGTGAAATAATGATGCGCCTGGGTTTTCGTGGAAAAAGGCAATTAACATAATATTTAAATTAAGAAAATGAGTTTAAAATTGCGTCCCTAGAAAATTCGTCTCTAAACTGCTGTTGGTTTGAGGGGTTATAACCATACATACGCAAGTTCAAAAAACGCATTTTCCGAGAGTTTTTCTTTTTAATAGAAGTTTTATTAAATAAATAAATAAAAATAATGTAAATTTACAGAATTGTACAAGATTATTGCGAAAATTCACTTTCTCAAAAAATATGAAATTTCAAAAAATCCAAAATTCCGAAAAAAAAATCGAAAATTGCGGTAAACGGTTGGAGACCATTCAGCTGACATTTTATTCGAATATATGTACATATGTTAATTCAAAAAATAAAATAAAAATAATCTGCATAACAAAGAAAAACAGAACCCATTTTCATCATTCGAGTGTCTCATTGTAATTTAACATCACGTCCTCCTTGTTCTTTTATTTGCCGAATTAACTTAACATTTTTGGAGAATATTTTCAAACATACTATGTATACATATACATATATATATGTACATATATTCGAAAATAAGCAAACAAAAATATTTTTTTTAAATTCAACGAAAATAGATAAAACCATAAATCCAATTTTTTCCTTCCTCCAAGTTTTATTTCAAACACATATTCTTTCACTTTAGATGATCCTGCAAGTAGTTTTCCTGGTATAAATCGCGTCGCAATGGCCGAGTTTAAAAAATTTGTTTCCAAAAATTTCATTATTATATTAAGATATGCACATATGTACATATATTTGTATATAAGAAGCATATATTTATAAAAATATAATTTACATATTTTAAAGGTATAATATACATATTTGTTTTATTTCATTAGTCCACTTCCGCACGCAGTCGATAGCGTTGATTTTGCACACACTTCTCATCAATAAATTGCCATTTGATTACAATTAGACTTAATCTCAATTGATTTTGTCAAATACCAGACAAATATTTAAAATACTTGATTTCAGTTTCATTTGCAATTTATTTCTGAATACTTTGTCATATCTACATCTACATTTGCACGCTCACGTCCAAGTTAGGGCGCGTCGTTGACCCAATGATAACCTAATTAAAATCTTATTTCGATTAATATGTATAGACATTTCTACGGATGCATATACATTTATTTAACTAGTATGAATTCAGTTTGTTTGATTATTTAAAAATATATATACATATATATATATTTTGTTACCAAGCAAACAATTTTCAAAACATATTAATTTTTAAAAATATAAAGATATGAGTGATTGATTTTTTCTTCAAGAAATAATATATGTATAACAAATAACAATATTTATGGTATATTGTGAAATATAAAGATAAATTAAGTCCATTTTTGGTCAACAAGAGTGAAATTTCGGTGCATTTGTTAATTAACAAATAAAAATTGGTTAGAAACTATTTGTATATAAATATAAACATTTATGTGATAATATACGCAATCATTTGAACAATCTGAATATCAGATTAATAATCAATAACTAACTATATTTGTGGAGCAAAATGTGTTTTTGTTTTATATCAAGCTTGGCGCCTGATCATTAGAAAATTACCAATAACCGAATTAGCAAAAATTCTTGATAGGCTCGGCGAACTGATGCAATATACTTGTTTCCAAAAATCAACAATTTTCCCAAATAAATTTGTTATTAAACAAATTGTGACTAATTTTAATATTTATTTGTGAATACCTTGAAAATTGCCTTTGGTATTTTGCATCATCAAAAAAATAAAACTGATGTAACAACTTGTTTGTATGAGGAGAGAATGTTCAAAACGAATATTGCTAGCTTGACCGCGGTCAGTGCTAATGATGAACTATTTAAAAACTAGACCCATATATATAAATACATATGTACACTTGGGCGGGTAGTATGTATGTAAATAAAACAAGAATAATATGATGCAATAATATTTAGCCATTAACACTAGTAAATCAAACTTAACTTTTCGGCATATTTTTGAGATTATTGATGAATGTCTTCCGGACGAGTCTGCCTCAAAAATATCTCCGACTACTTATTAGCAGCTATTTTCACTTTTTGCAATTTATTTTATACATTTACTCAGTAATTTTAAGCAAATTCATAAAAGTAATTGTGCTGTATTTTTCCAGCTGCTGCATTCTAAATTTTTGTTTACTATTACCTACATCATATTTTCAGGAATCTCAGGTATTTATAATTATTTATTTTCATATTAAACTCATGGAAATATAATGATTATTTTCTAATTTTGCATTATTTTTAATATCATTTTGCAAGGCGCTAATGTTTTGTTTACAATTTGCATTCATGCTATTTTGACACTTTGCTTTTTTATTTTCTTCTATGTACTTTTGTTATGCTCTTACAACCTGTTGGGAGTATATATATGGCTCTATTCAATTTCAATTATTTTGGCTACCACATAAAACATTACGGAATTCGCAAACAAAGTCATCTCTTAAATATTACGTTAAATTAATAAAAAAACGCAGCAAAAAAATATGTTTGCTTGCTCTTTAAGTAGATAATCTCTTTATTTAAATAACGAAGTCAAGTAAATATAAAATTGCAGCATTTTGATTTGGCACAAGCATGAAAAAAAACAACAAAAATCACAACTGTTTACAGTCAAATGCAATGAAACAAATGAGAGCAGGAGAATGATTCTCAGCGCAACCGTAGGCAATGCATTCAAGTGCACTGAGTGCGCGCCGTTATTTGTGTGTTGTGCAGTTATGAACAAATTTCATTAAGAAAAATGTGCGTATCATCGTTGGACAAAATTCTAAATTCATTAATAACTTAAAGAAATAAGTAATAACTTTTAGTGAGATTGAAAAGTGAAAATTTGTGCAAAAATAATTGGTGTGAATGCATGGAAATATTTAAATATTCAATGTGAAAAGAATTTAAATTGAAACAGAGGTTTGTACAAATGTGAAAAGCAACATGTTTTAGATTTCGTAAAAAATAGTGAAAAAAGTGTAAAATGTGTAAAAGTGGTTGGAAAAATATTAACTTTTGGAACAATATTTTAAGTTGTAGCAACATTTTGTTTGTGTGTGTGTGTTAAAAAATGTATTGTGGTATAAAAATAATAATAGCGCAAGGAATTCATACCAAAAAGTTCTGTCGGGAAAATGCTGTTGACTATAAGGAACAACAAATGTAGAGGTGAGCCTTTAAATGCTTAGTTTTTATTTAAACTTCGCAAATTATGAATTCAACGGAATACAAGAACATTGAGCAGGCATAAGCAGCTGAAATTAATAACCTTGCAATATATAATATATATGCTTGCTATTGTCTCTGTTTGCCGTGAAATGTTCCATGTATAAAAATAATTAATTCATTTCAATTTTTGAGTTTAATAGTAAAAATAAAACATTATGTTTTAAATAAAATTTCTATTTATTTACTCTAATCGCCAGAGTTGCAATCTTCTTTATTCAAATATTTTGAATTATGTTAAGGATTAAAAAATAAATTTTATTTTATAATCAAAATCGTACTTAAAAATATTGTTTAGATAAAAGAAATTTTAAATATTTTTTAATGGAATGGAAAGTGATAAAAAAGCCCAACTTTTAACTGAATCACCATAATTAATTAAAAATTATTTAAAAATAA